CCCCCTCCCCTCCCCTCCCCTCCCCTCCCCTCCCCTCCCCCTCCCCTTCCCTCCCTCCCTCCACACACACACTCACACACACACACACCACACACACACACAGGATCACCTCATCCCGTACGGCTCGTACGTGGAGAGGCACTCGTTCCAGGCCCCGCTTGCTGACGGGAAGGTCCCGTTCTGGTCGCTCGGGGCTGGTGCACGGGTGGAGGACGGCGCCAAGGTCCGGCTGACGCCCGCACGTCAGTCGCGGCTGGGTTACTGCTGGAACGATGCACCGACGACGCTGACCGATTGGGAGGTGACTATCTCGTTCCAGGTCACGGGCCAGCCCGCTCTGGGTGGTGATGGTTTTGCTCTGTGGTTCACCTCCAAGGCTGGCATGATGGGCCCGGTCTATGGCGGCATGGACTACTGGGACGGCCTCGGCATCTTCTTTGACACCTTTAACAACGATGGCTCCGGGGCGCACCCGGCCATTGTGGCGGTGATGAACGACGGCTCGCTCTCCTACGACCAGGCTACCGATGGCGCGTCGCAGGCTCTGGCCTCGTGCCAGGCCTCGTTCCGCAATCTGGACTACCCGTCGCAGGTCCGCGTCATCTACCAGTACGGCACCCTCTCGCTCTCGCACGATGTGGCCTCGAACGGCAACTGGGTCGAGTGCTTCTCGGTCCAGAACGTCGAGCTCGGCATCGACAAGTACTTTGGCCTTACCGCCGGCACCGGCGACCTTGCCGACAACCACGACGTGTTCTCGTTCAACACCCGGAGCCTCACCCCGGCCAACGTCGACCTTGACGCCATCCGGTCCCGCTTCAAGTCCAAGCACGACCACTACAACATGGCGGCCGGCTCGTCGCAGCCGATGGCCCAGGACACCTTCCAGAATGAGGTCCTCAAGATGCTCCACCAGATCCAGTCGACCGCCAACGTCATCGAGTCCAACGCCGTCTCGCTGAAGAACGCCATGGAGGGCGGCATGCCGCGCCGTGGCATGCCCGACCGCGTCCCGGCCTCTGGCGGCTCGGTCGACGGTATCGCTCGCCAGCTCAACGACCTCGCGTCGCGCCTCTCCGAGGCCATCTCGTCGCGGACCTCGCCGTCGCTCGTCCGCATCTCGGACACGCTCTCCGCCGTCCAATCGGCCGTCTCGAACCTCCACGCCCGCTCCTCCAGCTCCGCCACCGGCGGCTCGGCTGATGCCGGCGCCATTGCCTCCACCGTTCGCTCCGAGGTCAACGCCGCCATCCGCGACCTGCCGACCTCGGCCGCCCTCGCCCGCATCGTTGCCGAGGCCGTCGCCGACGGCGCCGGCGCCAACAGCGGCGGTGGCGGTTGGCTCTTCGCCATCGCCATGTTCATCGCCGGCCTGCTCGCCGGCTGGGGCGTCTCTGCCTTTGTTGCCAAGTCGTCGCGCTCTGCCTACAAGCTTCCGTAGCAGTAAATGTCCCTTACATGCCACGCCACGCCCCGACCACCGTCCCCAGCCGAGCAATTTGCCCGACTCGGCTGGCAGCCCACCTGACGCCACCCGAGCCCACGCCCATGCCACACACTCTCACATTCCAAGAACTCGTCGACGCATGCATTGCCTCCAACAGCCACCATGCGCCTTCCAACCCAAGAACGCCCGCCGAAGATGACTCGGACGAGGTGGCAAGCTCGACGCTCGACCTGCTCTCGCGCGCCAACCGGGCTGATCTCTCCAGGCGCGAACTGGTCGGCCTCGATCACTTCGAGTTGTGCTCGAGTCTCACGGAGTTGTATCTTGCCTCAAACGCTCTGGTTGATCTCTCGCCGCTCGCGGTCCTTGCTCCCACACTCCGCGTCCTCGACATTGCTCACAACGCGATGACAAGCCTTGCTGATCTGGCTTGTCTCCATTCGCTCATGGTTCTCGACGCCTCGCACAATACCCTCGCTCCAGTCTCCGATCCACGAGCCCTGACCGCCCTGCTCCCGCCCAGACTTGTCTCGCTCGACCTCCGCGGCAATCCGCTGCTTCTCACCCGCCCCGTTGCCGCCGCTGTTGAGGCCGCTCTGCCGCGGCTCGTCGAGCTCAACGGCGTCGCTGTCGTTGATGACGAGGACGAGGACGATGAGGAGGACGAGAGAAGCAATGATGGCGGTAGAAATGGCGGGCAAGCCATGATCGCAACGCCTCCCGCTCCGGTGCTCGCTCTGGAGTCGCTCGCAGTCAACGATGTCCTTGACGCCATTGACATCGCCGCCGCCGCCGCCCGTGTCCGCGCTGCCGATGCCATCTGGGAGGCTCGCACTGCTTCTGCCAGCCGCCGTCGCGGCATCGCCGAGCAAGCCGCCGCATACGACGACAACACTGCCGATCCGGAGCCGGTCGACAACAGCACGCCCACACCATCTAGCCCATGATCAAAAGTCCTGGACTGGTCAACGTTGTGCACAAAAAAATGACATGTATCGTGGTGGTGGTGGTGTTGGCCGAGCGGCTGGGTGGCCAGGCCGAGCGGCTGGGTGGCCAGGCCGGCGGGCGGATTGGCCGGCCACTCGACTCGAACAATCAAAAGTTTGAATTCGGTTTGGCGCGCCATGTACGCCGTAGACAAGGAGAACAGCCAGAGCCAGACCAACATGGCCATGGCGCATACACCTGGACAGGGCATGCGGATGGGAATGAGCAAGCTTGGTGCGCCCAAGACAGGCGGCAAGCTCGGTGCTCCCAAGACGGCTTCCAAGTTTGGCGCCGGTAAGCTCGGCGGTGCCGGGGCAAAGTCGTTTGGCGGCCAACGCCGCCTCCGGCCCACCAAGTCGACCAAGAAGCTGCAGGCGACGGTGTCGCGGACCAAGCCAGTGCCAGTGCCGGTGGCATCCGGAGCACGGACAGCAGCAGGTGCTGCGGCTGTGTCTGCATCCGGGCCCGCGTCGGCCGCAGACGGGCCGCCACCGGCCGCTTTGGCTACGGGCGCACCGCCCGCATCATCGTCATCGACAACGGCCCCGCCCTCATCATCGGCCGGGGCCGCGCGTGAGAAGAAGGCCAAGAAGGTGTGGACACTCAATGACTTTGACATCGGTAAGGCGCTCGGTCGCGGCAAGTTTGGCAACGTCTACCTCGCCCGCGAAAAGTCTCAGCAGTTCATTGTGGCGCTCAAGGTGCTCTTCAAGTCGCAGCTCTCAAAGGCCAACGTCGAGCACCAGCTCCGCCGTGAAATCGAGATTCAGTCTCACCTTCGCCACTCCAACATCCTTCGTCTCTACGGCTATTTCCACGACGAGCAGCGGATCTACCTCATTCTCGAGTTCGCTGCGCAGGGCGAGCTGTACAAGGAGCTGCAGAAGGTCGGCACGTTCTCAGAGCGGCGCTCGGCAAAGTACATCTCGCAACTTGCCGACGCCCTCGCCTACTGCCACACCAAGCACGTCATCCACCGCGACATCAAGCCTGAGAACCTCCTTCTCTCCAAGAAGGGTGACCTCAAGATCGCAGACTTTGGCTGGTCCGTCCACGCCCCGCACTCGCGCCGCACCACCCTCTGTGGCACGCTCGACTACCTCTCACCCGAAATGGTCGAGGGCAAGTACCACGACCACTCGGTTGACATCTGGTCGCTCGGCGTTTTGATGTACGAGTTCCTCGTCGGCGTCCCGCCGTTTGAGGCCGAGGGCTCGACAGAAACCTTCCGCCGCATCGCAAAGGTCGACCTCCACTTTCCGTCGCACGTCTCGCCGCTCGCCCGTGACCTCATCTCGCGCCTTCTTCATCGCAACCCCGAGAAGCGCCTCGAGCTGAGCAAGGTCAAGGACCACCCATGGATTGTCATGCACACCCGGACGCGCAAGTCGGTTGCCCCGGCAGCGCCCGTCGTCGCTGCCGAGGCCAGCCAGTAAACACTCACCTGTATCATGGCCGCAAGGGACGCCACGCAGCGGCCACCCCTTGGTTTACCCAGGAATCGGCATCGGGTGAGCCTCGGTGTTCATCACCCACTCGTCAAGCGGAATCGGATTCTCGTCTGCAAAGAGCAGGAAGAGGTACTTGAGTGTCTCAGCAAGGAAGAACGACTCCATCTTATCGTACCGAGCGCCCGCTGCAGGCTGTCGGACCGGCGTGGCCCGAACGTCGGCGACCGAGGTGTACCCGCCAGTCGAGACGCGACTCCACGTGTTGAACGCATCAAAAATGGCCCGGCCCCATGCTCGATACTGCGGTTCGCCCGTGATGACATGCATGTACCACAGCGACTCGACGGTCTCAGGCCGGAGCAGGTTGTGGGCGTCGGCCGGACGGATCTCAATGTCGCCCTCGGCACCGTCTGCAGTGGCAAAGTACGCAATCTCGGGTGCAAGGCCCGAGCCAGTCGATGCGTACATCTCGTAGCACGTTTCCATGAGCTTGGCTGCCATGTCAAGGTGCCACGACGGCGCCCCGTAGAGCGTGCCTAGCGCGAGCGTGCCCGGCAGGAAGCAAACCAGATGGTCCATTTTGGGCGAGAACCGGCCCGAGATCTCCTCACCCACGTACCACACGCCCTTGGGCCCGCTCGCCTGTCGCCACAGCCGCTTGCGGATGGCCTCAACCGTCTCTAGATACCGGTCCATGCATCGCCGCGCCAGCGGCTCATCGTCACGCCCCGGGCCTGCCGCAATGTACTGCTTGAGCAAGTACTCGTAATACGAGTCGCCGCGAGCGCCGAGCTTGATCTCTGACATGGCGACCTTGCCCGAGGCCGGCGAGACGCGCGTCCCCAGGAGCCCGTCGCGCGAAGGCGCCGCGAGGATGACGTCCATGACCCGGTTGGCGGTCTTGGCCCACCTCACGTCGCCAGTTGCCCGCGTCAGCTGTCCATACTCGAGCTGAAGCGTGGTGACCTCGGCCGTCGATGACATGCCGCCATCCGGCGACGACGCCACTCCGCTCGCCGGCACCACATCCGAGTACGGCACGCCCGACGGCGTCCGGAACGCCGGCTCCATGGCCTCGGCGAGTTCAACAGCCTTGTTCAGGAAGAGCTCATCGCCAGTGATCTCGTGAGCGGTGAGGAGCGAGCCCAGAATCCGAATCGTGGTCTCAAACACGTTGTACCGGTCGTCGTAGTCGAAGCGGAGTTCGCTCGCCACCCATTCCCGGGCCTCGTCAAAGGCCTCGCCGGCCCCGAGCAGCAGCATAGTGTCCAGCGAGTCGACCAGTGTAAGCCCGACCTGAGTCCACTTTTGCCATGACCGCGAAATCGGCCGCAGCTCATCGCGACCAAACGCACACGCCTTGTACGCCGACCACGCCCAGTCGAACGCCTCGACCACGTCCGCCTGATCCTTGTTGTGCGGCAGGCCAGCAGCGAGTCGCGCTCGGAGCGCCTCGGCACCTCTAGCACCCCCGCCAGCAGTCTCTGTCGCCTCGGTCGCCGCCACTGGCTTGTCCACCTCCATATCCTTCCGCCCGGCCATCAGCGCGTCCAGGCGGGCCTGCAGCTCGGCCACCTGCTGACGCAGATGAGCCAGCTCCGCCGACTCATCGCCTGCCTCACCACCGCCCGCCGCCGTGGCCTCAGCCCGGAGCTTTGACTGAAGGGCAGCTGCTTGGGCATGTGTGGCCTGAACGAGGCTGGTGGCAGGGCCACCTCCAGCTCCAGCTCCAGCTCCAGCTCCAGCTCCAGCTCCAGCTCCAGCTCCAGCTCCAGCTCCAGCTCCAGCTCCAGCTCCAGCTCCAGCTCCAGCTCCAGCTCCAGCTCCCGTCGACACGCCCGGACTCCGTGGCACCACCACCAGGGCCATCACGCCCAATAGAGCGGCAACCACCACAAGGCCCGCCACCACCAGTGGAGGCATGGTCCGCCGTGGTGGCTCAGGGTGGCCCTTGTACCCAGCCTCGTAGTCGTCGGTCATGAGGGGGGCTGGGGTGGTGGGGTGAGGTAGGCAGTCGGAGCTGACAAGTTGACGAGCTGACCATCTGACCTGGATTTGGGCAGGCTCGGCCTGGTGACGGCGGTGAGCGATGTAGGTTTACAGGGCGAGCGAAGCATACCAATCAGTCATGGTATTGTTAGCCAAGATCCAGCTGGTGGAGACAGCATCAAGTATGCGCAGCCGCGACACGACAGCTTCGACCACATGAGGCGCTGCGGAGCAGATCGCCGCCAAAAGCGGTGAGACAAAAAGGTAACGCGCAACAAGCGCGGCGGCATAGCGGCGACTACATCACCGCGACTCGGTGTGGTGCTGGCACCAAACATGCGACACACACGTCACAGGCGTGCAGATTGAGCCGCTCCGTTGGGTAGAAGAAGTGTATGAAAGCGTTGCTGGTGGAGGGTGCGAGCTCGAGCAAAAAAATCAAATCTCGTCTGCCGGAATCGAACCAGCGACCCTCGGTGCTACAAACCGATGCTCTTCCAACTGAGCTAAGACGAGCTAAGGTGCTGACTACGAGAGGTACAAGAATCCTTATTCCGTACATTACATTGGCCATTTGACGACCAAATACAAAGCGGATGTCACCGTCCTCCTTATCCCACCCATACTCGAAATCTAACATCACGTCGTTCTCTAACATCTTCAACTTTGGCTATTGCGCTCCAATCTACGCACAGAGCAGTCAGTACACGCTGCTGCAAGTTTGAGGAGGGTCTGAGCTCGGGTAAAAAAATCTCGTCTGCCGGAATCGAACCAGCGACCCTCGGTGCTACAAACCGATGCTCTTCCAACTGAGCTAAGACGAGCTCAGATACTCAAAATGAAGCGATCCACAGTATTTAATCAGTTTATTAGATTGGTGAGCTAGTGCGTTAGACGCTCAAGCCTTTGTCGCCCCCACACAGCACTGCGAAGGTTACGAAAGACATGATCGTCAAAGGTCATGTTCTGTCACTCGACGGAAAGACTATCAAATGTCTGTCTGCATCTGCATCAACTCGAAAAGCCGTAGTCGCACCCCAGGACTCCTGAGCTCACTCATACCCACGTCGCCATCATGCACCACATTGCACAAGGCACTAGTTCGTTCTTCCTGTTATCATCTTTCCCCACAAAGACTTCAACAAGCCTCCTCCAGCCATCGATGTCATGGACCTCCGCAGCCTTTCTGTTTCTCCAGTGTCCCTGGTCTGTGCCTTCCGTTCTTCCCACTGACATAAAATGATCACAGAATCTGGCCTCGTCATTATTGTTGATTGTAACCACAACAGTTGTTGCCGCTTGCCGCTCTCATCTATTATCAAGACTCCCCAGGCCGTTGTCGCCTACATCACCACTGATGAAGCCACTTGCCTCATTCATCGTGGTCGTAGCTGCAGCTGTGAATCCGGTCTCTAATCTTCTCCCACAGCAGTCAGCTATCCATCAGCTCGTCGCCGATCAGCGGCAGGGCTGAGGGCCGACGACTCGGCGCTCGTCATCACCTCACGCGGCACGAGGTAGCAAGGGAGGTATGCTTGTGACTACGACTGTTGTTTCGGCCTCGCTCAAGGGTCTTGCTGTCTCTACAGGCCTTGCCGTCTTCCGGCGACTGAGCGGCTTCCGCCTCCGGACTGCCGCCATTGGACACCGTCGTATCCGTGCCGCTGCCGAGGGCTATCTCCAGGCCGGCGAGTGGACGGCCACCGCTGTGGCGAACATGGCTAAACGGACGCGTGGCCAGATCGCGGCCCAGCGGAGAAAGGCGGCAGAGCTGGCGAACAGGCGCTCCAAGGCAGCATAGGAATCGCTCCCATCAAGGCTGCTGCTCGCCCCGCCTAGCTGCCGCTATCGCCCGTCATAGCTGTCGCGCACTTTGGCCTCGTCAGCGAGACAGTGCAGCTTCTTCCTTGCTTTAACGTATGTGTCATCGTCATCATCCGGAGCCGGTCATCTGCGCGCTCTCGTGTTGTCACAAACTGCCTAGCCTCGGGGTCACATCGGGGTCACCTCGGGGTCACCTCGGGGTCAGCATCAGCCTCGGCCTCGGCCTCAGCCTCGACGTAGGTGTTTGGGAAGAAGCTGAAGGCCAACAATTGTCATCAGCATCGGCCTCAACTGCTCGACACCATTATCGCGCTACGTGTAAACAACATCCCGGCGGCCAGAGCGAGGTCAGTCACCACTGGACCTGCAAGGCCAGAACATCGTCGTCAATCCCATCTCCTCCACCCGCCAGCCCGCTCACCGCAGAGAACGACGCCGCAACAAGCTCGTCTGCCCGCTCGCTCTCACTCAGCCATGCATTCACCGCCGCCAGCTCCGAGTGCTCGCCATCGACCACTCCGCGATGGAGCTCTGCAAGCGCTGCGAGATGCGCCTTGCGCCCGGCCCGGCTGCCATCTTCGGCGCTCGGCATGCCGCCGCCGTTGAGGCAGCCCGACGGGCAAGCCTGGACCTCGACTACGTCGTACGGCAGAACGCCACGACCGAGTGCGTTAACCACGTTCTGGATGTTACGAAAGCCAAAGGCTGTAGCCGCCGCCAGCCGTGCGTCGCCCTCGCCGGCGCTCAGCGACGCCGCCTGATAGTCCTTATTGCCCACCCGTTCAAACTTGGCCTTACCTTCCAGCCCCCAAAGCGCAGCGGCAGCCCGGATGAGCACGCGCTCAGCATATCCGTCTGACTCGCCGTGGGCGCGCACGCCGCGGAGCCGGCCCGTTTCGGCATCGACGTCCACCAGCGGCGCCACCTCGTGGGTGAGCGGAAGCGGCTCCATGCTGGCCAGTCCACCGCTCACGCCCATCTCACCCATCAAGGCTTCAAACTCTGGCACCGTCAGCACAAGGTCCACCAGTGCCAGCCCATCGCCAGCCGTAAACTCTGCCCGGGTCGCCTCGAGCTTCTTGTCGTAGCACTGCATAACCGCCACATGGAGCGTCGTCTCCGGCGCAGCACCGAGATACTCGGCCACAAGCATCCCGTTCATGGCCTGCGGCGACTTGACTCGGGCAACATGCGGGAGCGCTTCGGGGTGGGTCTTCTCCGCGTAGCAGATCCAGCCCGGGCACGACGAGGTCAGCACGCCCGCCGGCCCTCCCCCTGCCGTGCGCTTGGCGGATACAACTGCATCGACAACGGCGCTCTCTGCCAGTTGCCGACCAAGCTCGGTATCAAGCACCCAACGGGCGCCCACATGTTCGACGCAGAACCGGGCAGCACGGGCGAGGGCGTCGCCGGTAGAGAACAGACCGCTGCTCAGGGCAAGACCGCTAAGAGCCTGCGATGAGAAGGAGAAGACAATCGACTCCGGCTTTGGTGTCGCCGTCAGCTTCTCGCACAGCTTTGTCACCGACTGAGCCGAGACAAGGACGGTCTCTGCTGTTGTGATGCATCCAGAGCAGGCGAGGCAGTCGGAGAGAGAGATGGTGGAAGGGGCGAGGAGCGTGGTTGTGGCCGCCGAGCCCGAGCCTCCCGCACCATGCACACGCTCATACACCGCACCGGAGGAGTCGCGAATGATGGATGTTTGCCCCGTCGACGACAGCATCGCCCCATATCCCTTCTCACCCTCTTCCTCGTCCATAGCTTCGAGCTCGAGCGCGACCGACGCTGCTGCCGCCGCCTCCTTCTCGGCCGCCGCCCCGTCTCCGGCCACGCTATCCGCCAGACCACCGACCAGACGTGACTCGCGGGGTTGGATGATGCAGTCTTGTGACGGCCCAATGTAGTCGTCAAGCGAGGTCAGCTGAAGTGGGCCCGAGAACGCCATCCCTCTCTGCACGCCCGATGTGAGTCAAGTGCTCACAACGCCGTCTTGAGCGGAGTCTCGCGAGATCCTCTTGCTGACTCGAGGGAATGGTTCGGCTGGTGGCGTCATCACGGAGCTGCTGTTGGGGATGGCATGGCATGGGATGGGCGATGAGGAGGGATGGCTCAGGCCGGCCATACCAAGACCTGTATCAGGCCCCCCAGGCGGTGCTGCCGCTCAATCGCTTGGCCTCAGTTCTAAATCCAAATCGTGTTTTACCCGTCCAATTACCCACCCTCCTTCTTCTCGCCATCGCCTAAGCTCTGCATCACAATTGCAGCAGATATCTCGTCATGTGGCGGCGACGCGAGGTTCTCGGAAGTCGCTGGTGGCGCGTCATGCGGAGGCATTGGCGGCCGCTGCTCGCCTACACCCGCGTCCGTCGCCATCGTGCTCGCCGCCGTTCCAGGATCACCCATCATGAGAAAGTCCGCAACGTCGTTGTTGGAGTGCAAGCCTTGCATCAGTGGGTTGCTCACACACCCCTGGTTCCCACCTGGCATGCTCCCTGGCATGCTCCCTGGCATGCTCCCTGGCATGCTCCCTGGCATGCTCCCTGGCATGCTCCCTGGCATGCTCCCTGGCATGCTCCCTGGCATGCTCCCTGGCATGCTCCCTGGCATGCTCCTTGGCATGGTCCCGGGCATGCTCCTTGGCATGGTCCCGGGCATGGTCCCTGGCATGGTCCCGGGCATGGTCCCTGGCATGGTCCCGGGCATGGTCCCGGGCATGGCCCCGGGCATGGTCCCGGGCATGGTCCCTGGCATGCTGCCCGGCATACCGCCTTGCATGCTGCTCCTCATAGCACAAAGCATTAAGAAGTTGTGCATGTGCATGTGCATGCGCATGTGCATCTGGGCCTGGGCCTGGGCCTGGGCCTGGGCCTGGGCCTGAGCCTGGGCCTGAGCCTGGGCCTGTGCAAGGCCAAAGTCGGCCATTCGGTCCGACAGGCCAGCGACCTCGGACGGTTCCAAGGCAGGGATTCCCGTGCTGCGTCCGGTTTCCGCCGATAACTCGGCCCGTGGCGAGCTTGAGCCGCGTGGGGCAGGCGAGGTGCTCGCACCAGCGCTTTGCGAGCGGTAGCTCCACACATCGGGTGGCGCGGCAGACGGTGGCGGGGCTACATCCACCGCAGCCAGCATTTGGTCATCGTCGTCAAAGTCGTGCGAAGACCGCCGTCGCGAGCCTGAGCGCGATCGGTCGTACGGCGACGCCGCTGCCCGACGCTGCTGCGACAGCGAACGAGACCCGCTCAGCGCGTCCTCGTCCCTGCTGCCACAGCTTGTGCCGCCGTCATCTGACGCCGCCGAGCTCGATCGCACCCGCCGTTCGCCACGCCGCGACCGTGAGTTGGACCGGGTGGTCGCCGTCGCCGACGCCGGATTGCTTACCACGAACATCTCCTCGGCTTGGTCATCATACACCGTCGTCTCCATCGGCACGTACACACTGGTCTTGCTGTCCAGCTTCCAGTGCATCTGATACGACCGCAAAATACGCGCATCGGCTGATGCACTCCGGGCCCCACTGCTGCCATGCCGTCTTTGCTCGGCCAAGCCCGAGCTCGCCGACTCGCCAGCACCCGAGCTTGCCTCGCCCGCCTCACTCGCCCAGCCACTCGCTCGACGATCTCTCCGCTCGCCACCAAGCGAAGCCGAGCGCGGAGTGGCGCGGCGGCCGCGTCGCCCGCGTCCGCTGCGTCGCTGGCTGATGGTCCTCCTGCTGCCGCTTACGCCGCTTCCGCCACCTCCGCTGCTGCGTCCGGCTCGGTGGCCTCGGCCCTCGTCTGCGCCAGGTCGCGGTGGGAGGCCACGCCCGGAGACAGCTGACGGCTCGGCTGGGCCACGCAGACGCATGTGGGTCTCATACCCACTTCTTGTAGGTGTGACAGTCAGCTCATTCTCCTGTGACATGCCGTGAGCTTTGCCACTCTACCGCTATCGCCTTGCCTATCTATCCCGCCGGGTTAGTCTGAGAGTGGTGGTGGAGTCGGAACGCCGACACTTTCCGCCGTCGGCACTCATTTTCCGACGTCAAACTGTGCGAGCTGCCGCAAAATTTTGTCGCCTTTCCTCTTTTCCTTGCACTGTTTTGCTGGCGGCTGTGTCTGGGGTGCGCAGCTTGAAGCGTAACCTGCCTGGGTTGTCTACATGCAGGTGACATCAGAGGCTTTCCTTTCAACCTCCTCTGCCCATCTACATTACCATCCTCCCTCACTTGCGTTGTTGCGTTGCTGGTGCCGTTGTCCCCTGCCTGATAAGAGCTAGGCTCTACCGGGTCGGGGGTCTCGCCGCGCTCCCGCCGTGCTTCCCCTCCCCTCCCTCCCCGCATCAGCTCTTGGACCTTGCGAGCCTGCAAGCGCCGGACACCAGCCAATCACAGTGCCAAGATCAATGTTTTAAAGTCGGGCGCTATCATCATGTGACGGTACTTGTCCACGCTCAATCCTTCACAGCTCAGCGTGTGACGACGACGATGACGACGACGACGATGATGATCCCGAGCCCGAGCCCGAGCCCGAGCCCGAGCCCGAGCCCGAACCAGAGCCCGATCCAGAGCCGGAGCCCGAGCCGGAGCCCGAGCCCGATCCAGAGCCGGAGCCGGAGCCGGAGCCCGAGCCGGAGCCCGAGCCGGAGCCCAAACCAGAGCCCGAGCCAGAGTCCGAGCTGGAGCCGGAGCCCGGCCCAGACGCCGATTCGTTCGAGCTCTCGCTGCAACTGCCTGACGCCCAAGAGTCGTCATCGGGTGCTGTCATGAGCTCAGGCCCGACGGCCACGGTTGGCCGGAACTCGACAACGTCGGCGGCGTCGGCGGCGTTGGGTCCGTCGCGGCCGACCTCAGCGATGACAAGCCCCGCAGCCTCGAGCTTGCGGCGCTCCTGCGCAATGACGTCGTCGGGATCGACGTCCATGAGCTTGTCCATCAGCAGCGCGGCGCGCGCCGAGCCAAGCAGCCGCTCCTTGATGCGCAGCACTTTTGCGCCCTGAAAAGCGGTGATCACGTTGCGCTTCACAAGTTCAGCCTGCGACGGCCGTGCGGCGAGCGCGGTGTTGATTCCTGCAGCCCGTTTGGCCCGCTCGGGGTCGTGACGCCGCTTGATGCCCTCGCGAGTAAAGGTGGCCTCGCGCACAAGGTGCGGCGCCGCAGCCATTCGTGCCTCAACCGCGGCTAGAGTGTTGTTGTCCGAGCCGACGTCCAGGCCACGCTGCTGCATGTCCGCCATGACCATGTTGAGCACGTCGCGGAAGAGCAGCGTCTGGTGGAGGTAGAGCTCGTGGATAACGCCGCTGCTTGTTTCGATGGTCACCGTGTGGTGCTTGCTGGAACAGAAGCACGAGGCAAGCTCGCGGAGCTTGATCACAGACGGCCGCTCCTTAAAGTCAGTGTGGATCACAATGGCCTTGTGGTTGATGACAACAACCACATCAGTGTTGCCCTTTTCCAGTGAGACCTTGGTCGACGCCGTAAACACCACGGCCTGCTCCAGCTTCCACACCTTGCCGTCGACGCCCGCCGGCCAACGGAGCGAGACGGTTCGGGTTTTGGACTTGGACTTGGACTTGGACTTGGACTTGGACTTGGACTTGCGCTGGGAGGTGGTCTTTGTCGTCAGCAGTCGCCCGCTAGGTGAGGTGCGGAGCCCGAGCCAGGCCGGAACAGGGTTCCAGTCGCCGGCAGCCTCCTCGGCAACAACACCACGACGAACAAGGTCGCCTGGCGCCGGCCGACGGGAGAGGAGCTTGGCCACGCCCTGGATGGCGGCGTCGAACCCGCTGTCGCGTCGACGCAGCGGACTCGATGCCTCCTTCTTGGCTGCGTACGGCACAGCCAGGACAAGGGCGTCGTCGCCGGTCTGGGTCTCGCCAGGCTGCTCCGGGGCCAGCAGTACGTCGGTCGACGACGAGACCGGAACCAGGGCTGGCTTCTGCTTGATCATGCCCTTGACCTTGGAGCGGAGCGCATTGATGTCTTCTGACGATGGCGACGCTGCGTTGGGTGCAAGAATGAGCAGCGCAGCCTCGCGGCGGCGGATGATGGCGTTGAGGTAGATACAAAACGTGGAGGCCAGGAGTTCGACAAACGGAGTGGCAAGCTCAAAAACGGCGTCAGCGTCTGCCACCGAAAAGGCAAAGACCGAGCGAGCGCGGTCAAGTGAGTATCCAGTCACAAAGATGTATTTGAGCCGATGGCGGACGGTAGCAAGGTCGGGCGAGAGGATGAGGACGAGCTTGGGAGTGCAGGTGACCACGACCTCTTGCGCGCCGTCCACCATTCCACACAGCTGCTTTGCCTGGAACATGGCAAACCGATGCTGATGCCATAGCGGAAGGTTGCACTTGTCAGGCCACTCAGTATCAGCACCAGCCAGTGGCGCCGGTGCAGCTGTTGCGGCCACCACATCGTCCCACCCTCGCTGCTGTCCTTGCCCTCTCCCCACCGAGCTGGATGATGTCGATGGTGATTCGTCTGTCTTGGCCGTCTTGGGCTTGCGCTTGCGCTTACGCTTGCGCACTCGCTTACGCGACCGCGTCCGTCCCGCCGGCGGCGCTGGAGGCAGAGCAGCTGCGGCCACAGCTGGCGTGTTGGCCGGCGGCTGGATGCCAGCCACTGCGGGTGAGGGTGAGGGCGAGTGCGAGCCAGCGGCAGCACCAGCACCAGCGGCAGTGCCACCAGCGGCAGTGCCACCAGCAGCAGCGCCACCACCGGCAACGCCACCAGTGCCAGGGCCAGTGCCACCTGGACCAGGTGCGGGTGCTGGCACGGGCGGCCGACCAGGCCCTCCACCAGGTTTCTGTTGCGGCGGGGGCTTCCGAGATGCGCCACACCCCATGAGTGTGTCGAGCAGAAGTAGAGCTGGTGTGGGTAAAGGTAGTGTGGTAGTAGTGGTGGTGGTGGTGGTGGTGGTGGTGGTGGTGGTGGTGGTGGTGGAGAGGTGCCGTCGGTGTCGGCGTGTAGCTGTTTCGTCGGCACGGACGACTTTCTCGGTTGCCGGCCGAGCGGTTACTCGGCTGGCTCGACAGTTTGGCGACAGAGGTCCTCGCTTTTACTGCGCTGGCCTTCCATGCTCATGTATTCAAGGGTGTCGCTCACATCTCCTTGAGGAACTCGACGCAGCGATCAAAGGCCAGCTTGTACGTGGCGGGGTCAAACGGCGGGCGGCCGAGGGACTCGGCCAGCTGCTGGAAGAACTCGGTGTCGTTCATGAACCCGTGGCTCTGGCCCTCGTACACATGGATGGTGAACGGCGCGCCCGAGGCCTGCAGCTTGGTGCGCAGGGCGTCGACGGCGGCGGGATCCGAGAACCCGGGGTAGTTATCGTCAGCACCAAAGTGGGCGAGGACCGGCTTGTTCATGGTCGCCACGTCCGCCAGAGCGTCCGGCGGCGTGCCGTAGAAGCACACGACTCGATCGACGTCGTCGCACTTGACGCCGGCGGCGAGCGAGAGGGCGCCGCCCATGCAGAAGCCCATGACGGCCACGGACGGCGCACCAGTCTCCTTGAGGTGGCGCGCCGCAGCCGCGATGTCCTCCAGTGCGCCTGGCCAGTCGAGGTTGTCCATCAGATGGTGTGCCTCTTCGGCATCCACACCCATCTTGCCGCGGTACAGGTCCGGGATCAGCGTGCGGAAGCCAAGCGCCTCGCCAAAGTCGCGCGCCTGCTTCTTCACCTGCTCGGTCACGCCCCACCACTCTTGGATCTGTGCGTCTCCGCCTCCCAACACGATAAGTGACGATGGCGACCCAAGGTGATGATCACCACCATGACCATGACCATGACCATGACCATGAGACCATGATCATCACGATGCTCACTAACACCATGACGATCACGACCAACCATGACGAGCATGACAACAACGACAAGCACCACTGATCATGGCCACAATCCCACCCCAACTCTAGCCACAACATCAATCCCCCCTGCCCCAGCCCCAGCTCCAGCAGCCATGTCCCAGCAGCCATGCCCCAGCCTCAGGTCGCTGCCCGAGCCCCAGGTCGCTGTCACGCCACCACCATGCGCCTGCGCTGTCAGGTCGCCTTAGGCACCCACCCCCTCCTCCCCCCCCTCCTTCCTCCCCCTCCCCCCCCACGCCCCACCCACCCCCTGAACCCCCTGTACCCTGTACCCCCATCCATCCATGCCCCCCCCCCCCCCCCCCCACACCATCCTCATACCCCCTCGCCCCTTTCCTCCCCTTTCCATCACATACCACGATAAGCCCCGGCGGCGAGGTGACAAAGGCGTCAAACTCGGTCTCACCACGAGTCAGGCGCACGGTGGGGTGCACCACACCCTCGGGCACGGGCTCGTTGGCAAGGTTGGGCTTGTTGTCGGTGGCAGCCATTTGTTCTTCTACTTGTTCTGGTTACTCAAGTGAGTCAAGTACCTCACTGTGTACGGTTGGCTATCGGTGGGCTGCCGCCTGCACATGACACGGAACAGCGACGACAGGCAGCGACGGCGAGTCGGCTGGTAATCAACGGGGTGGTGGCCCCCAAGGTCTCGGTTCTCCATACCTCGTTGGCTCAGAGGGAAACTTCCAGGTCATCGCCGCCGGCGCTTCCACCATCGCCACTCCAGCTGGGGTCAAGCAAGTCTCTCGTAGTGAGCATGATGGAGATGCTTGGAGGCGGTCGGGTCTCGCTGCCACCTCCTGAATCGCCATTGTCATTGCCGCCGCCGGCCTCGTTGCCACCGCTGCTGCTGGCGCCGGGTGCAGACAGAGCGGCCCGGCAGAGCGGACACGAGTTGTGTCGCGCGAGCCATGGCCGGATGCATCCAGCGTGGAAGACGTGCGAGCAGGTCATGATCTCGACGGCCTCGCCGGCGGAGAACACCTCCATACACACGGTGCAGCTCGCGTTCGGGTGGGCATCGGCACTAAACTCGCCTGAGACAAGGGCGCCAAGCTGCGCCTCGGACGCAGGCGGGGCGCCGCGACCCGTCCGGACCAGCGACAGCATCCGCTCGATGCCCCTTAGCCGGCCATCGCGGTTCGGCTCGATCCGTCGACCGCCCAAGATCATCTCAACGAGCGAGGCCGGCACCGCGTCTCGCATCATCGGCATTTCCATCGGCATCTCCATCATCATTGGCGGAAGCAGCCCATGCCCGCCGCTCATCCACGAGTGCCGCTGCGCCCGGCGCGCCATCCGTGCCGCCCTTCGGGTAGACGCGCTAGAGCGTGGTGGTGGGGGCCGGCGCGCCGTCGACGCCGTCGACGATGTCGACGCCGTCCGCCGTTGATTCCGGGCCCGCAGCCGCACGTTTCCTTCATCATCCGACTCGACAGCACGCTCCTCGTCGAGCAGCCGCTGGGCTTCCTCGCCGCTTGTCGAAGCCGGCGCCTCAACGTTGTTTGCCTCCAGCAACTGGCGGAGCTGAGCAATCTCGTCACGCTGGCGGCGGCACAGACCCTTGAGCCGCTCATGCCGGAGCTCGGCCTTGAGCCGCTGTCGGGCCCGGCGCTCGTGCTCGGCGGCAGCCCGTGCCTCTTCCAGTGAAGCACGCAGCTCCTCGTTCTGGTGCTCCAGTCGATGGGTGTTGCTTGTCAACAGCCGACTCTGCCGCACGATCTGCTCCCGCATCATCCGTGACGTCGACTCGGACGCGTTCAACACACGCTCCAATGCTTGCGCCATATCTGCTCTCTCACGCTCATCGCGGGCACGAGGCCTGCCCAGCTCTCCTGGCGGTGGGGTCCGTCGGTACCAGCCCATACCGCTGCGCCGGTTCACACCGCGGCGCCGGTTCATACCGTTGCGCCGGTTCACGCCTCCGCGCCGGCCCCTTCCGCCTCTGCCTGCCTCTGCATGGGAAGAGACCCACTCTGGCACGGCCTCGCCACGCTCGAGATCTCCACCGTCATCACCATTGCCATTGCCACTGCCACGGCCACCAGCCTCTGTCGCACCGGCTGCGCCTGTACCAACTGTCGCCTCTGATCCTTCCACTGTGCTTGCTGAGCAGTTTCCGGTCGACATATCGTTGCTGTCCTGCTCAGAAAGCTGTGCCTGGTTGGAGTGGTGGCCCGTGTCTCTGCCTCTGCCCGGTGTAGCTGTGCCTCGACGTGGTGGGACGTCTGTTCGTCGAAGGTGTGACTGTACCTCTTCTGTCCGCCTCTGTGATAGCCTTTGTACGTCACGTGCACAGAGTAGAGGTCGAGGTCGAGGTGGAGTGAGGTATGGGTGTGGTGTGGGGTGTGGGGAGAGAGAGGGCGTGTGTGCGTGGTCGGTGTGTCGGAGGAATGGACCGGTGAGGTCGCTCCAAGTGTGACAGCAGGCGAACGAGAGTGCGACACGGCTCTGCTGATCAGCGTCACGGTCACCGTGACGGTTGCGGTCATTGGAAGGCATGCGGCTAATTGTCAAACTCTGCACTGTACAGAAACTTCCTTTACTATGCTTTCGACTTGGACTTGACCTCGGCGACAAAGCCAGAGTTGATGGCAGCGGCAGCAGCAGCGGCGTGCGGCGGGAGCTTGGGCAGGGCGCGATGGCTCTTGCTGCGCGACGACTTGCGTGATGTATGCGAGACTCGTGCCGTAGACGCCGCGCCACTTGATGACTTGGCCGTGATGGACGGGCCTGTCTCGTCCAAGCTGCCTGTTGGCTTGCTGTGGCCATCCGCCCCGCCCTCGTCTGCCGACGACTCACCGTACGAGTAGTACGAGTACCCGTCGTTGTCCTCCTCGTCAGACCGTGAGAGCGAGGCCGAGATCGAGGACGAGAACACACCCGCCAGCGAGTCTGACCACGAGCCCTCGGAGAGCGAGGCCGAGATGGAGACTGAGGGTGTCGAGACCCCTGATCGCGACTGCGAGCGCGAATGGCGGCGGCGGCGACGGCGTGAGAGGCGCTCCTTCACCGACAGCGAGCCATCTGCGCCGGCCGCAGACTCATTTCTGCCGCCGCCAGTCGGGTCTCCGGCTGGGACGCTTGCAGCTTGCTTGGCCTTCATCTTCTGGGCGAGCTCGTACTGCTGCTGCACCTGCATCTGGTGCTGCAACAGCTGCAGGCGCTGGAGCTGGTGCAGCGAGTGCAGCTTGTGCAGCTCCAGAATCTGCTCGGGGGTGTACGACGTGGCGGCGGCGCCGGGCTTTGTCTCGGTGGCGGCGCCGACGCGGAGGCCCGACTCATCCATCTGCAGCTGGAAGCCTGGAATGTCCATGGGGAGCGAAAACGAGGAGAAGACCTGCTGCGGATTGACAGTCGAGCTTGAGGGCGGCGAGGTGGGCGATGCGGCGCCCATCGGGGCTAGACTCCGGTCAGCGGCGGCATGCTCGACAAGGAGGTAAAGTCCATCATCTGAATCAGGTCTGTGGCGGGCGTTGTCGGAAGATTGCTTGTTGGTGGCTTAGTAGAGAGCTGCGGGAAGGGCGGAAGGTGGGCAAAGTACGTGGCCGGGTCCATCATGCCGCCATCGTCGAGCAGCGGATCGTCACCAGCAGAGGCTGGACAGTTGGCGGGGTGGAGCCCTTGCCCGACGACATGGCCCGGTCCACCGAGGTAGTCGAGGCCAGAGAGTGCGGAGTCGTGGGGGAGCACGGCTCCGGCGAGACTGACGCGTACGGAGTCGTCCGCTCGCCGCCGACGCCGCTGACGCTGCCGACGCCGCCCGCCATTCCGAGCATGTTGGTACTTGGGTCCATCCGCAGCGAGTCCAAGGTGATCGAGTCTGCAGCAGATCCGCCACCAAGGCGCTCGATGCGAGCATTTGCGGCAGCGAGGGCCGACTCGAGCTCCTTGATGCGGCTCGACTGCTCCTCGACCGTGTCGATGGCGGTGGAGACGATGACCTTGACGGTCTCCTTGGGATGCAAACCAAGGACCGATCCCAGAGTGTTGAACAGCTCCTTCATTTGTGCACGGAGCTTCTTTGAGCGAAGTCGCTGTTGCTCCGTCCCGCCCTTGCTTCCACTTCCACTATGGTTTGTCCGCCCAGCACGACGGGTCGACGACGAGGACTTGCGCTTGCGCGAGTGCGCCTGCAACGACATGGTGCGTGGCGTAGACAGCGAGAGTCCAGAGAGTGCTTGAAGCCTTTGTTCTCCTCCGGTGGCCTTACCTACTTTGCTGCTTGTCCTTTCCACCCAAGCCCTTTTTCTTGCGTCAGGTGTGTCTCTCTCTGCCTCTGGATGTGTGTGACTTGTTGTTGAGCCCCACGTGCCGTCGCTGTCTGCGTTGCGCAACGCGTGCCCAATTGGCGTGTTCCACCACCATGGCATTGGGTCAAAGTAGACAGCGGTATATGTGGCGATGGGGGGGGAAGGGGGGGGGGAGAAGGGACAAGACAAGCTTCGATCACTCTGTGTCTGGTGTGTACGTATGGCCTTGCGGTCGTATCATCGGCTGCGATGGGCTGGCGATGGGATATTGAAGTGGTACGCAAGGGTGGTAGGTACTTGGCCAGTGACACGCCACACAGGCATGAGCGTATGAAGGCTATAGCTTTGAGCACGGCTACGTTGCAGATGTCTAGCTGCGTACACAGATGGACATGGTTCTCCTCTCCCACTCCATCAATATCATCACTATCATGCCGATGACTCAGGCTTTGCAGATCTTTTAGAACTGGAGAGCGGCGCCCTTAACCTTCTTCTCACCGCCGAGCTCGAACTTCTTGCAGCGCTTGAGGACCTTCATGTGGCGTGCCTTGCACTTGGTGCACTCCAGACGGAGGGTGATCTTCTTGGTGGTCTTGGCCTGTGTGTGTGTGTGTGGAGAGGGGGGGGGGTTGTCGGGGAGGTAAAGTTGTGAGTCACAGCAGGGGAGGGGAGGGGAGGGGCATGACCACGGTAACTACCACCATGGAGCAACATGTGCATGGCGTCGAGTGTGTGTGTCTGAAGCACAGCAGCGGTCATTCGGGGATGCGAGGTGGCGGGCGGGGGAGGGGGGCTGTGTGTGATCGGACACACGATGGCGGGAGGAGGACGAGGTGGCGGAGGGGGAGAGGATAGGGGGGAAGGGGGGGGGAGGAGGAGGGAGAAAGAGAGGGAAGTAGAGAATGATGGGGGTATTCAGGGAAGGCAGAGGAAGGGGTGGGGGGACAAGGCAGAGGAAGGGGGGGGGGAACGAGGGGGGGATGTGGTGGTTGTGCGGACGTACGTTCTTGTGGAAAATGGGCTTGGTCTGGCCACCGAAGCCCTTCTGCTTGCGGTCGTAACGGCGCTTGCCCTGGGCAAAGATGGAGGCCTTGCCGGTCTTGTACTGGGTGACCTTGTGCAGCTGGTGCTTCTTGCACGCCGCGGCACGGCAGTAGGTGTTGCTGTCCATCCAAGGGGGGTACAAGGGGGTGAGTCTCTGCTGCGTCTGGCTCCATCTCATACAAAACGCACTGAAAATAGGCGAGGGACGGCAGTGCTATCCAAGACCAGGACACACACTCACACCACACCACGCCATGCCCGTATGGATGTAGTACATGCTCTCCACCTAGTAACAACCCTCTCTCTCCAGCATCTCCTTCCTCAGCCTGGTCACCTACCGAGTCTTGGGCACGTTCACCATGTTGGAGACAGTGAGTTGTGTGATTGATGCCGAGCCGAATCGAGTTCCGTCGACCACTCACCAAACCATGATGCCGCCGCGAGTCCATTTCATTCATTCCTTCATTCATTCCCAACCTCTCGGCTGAGGCCAAAGGGCCAAAACAGGCAGAGCGCCTGTTGTGGCTCTTTGGCCTCTGACGGACGATTGGCAATGAGCCCTCCATCGATGGGTAAGAGGCTGCCGATGAAAGGGTGGGAAGAGTCGTGGTGTAGATGCAGCTGTGTGTGGTAGTTGAGGAGCTTTTAGCTCGCGGCGGCGGCGTCCGAGTCGAGGGCGGAGAGACGGAGCGGCTCGGATGAGGCGGCATCGCGGCGGGTAGATGCGGGAGAGTTGCGGGTGGCGACGAGGGCGGCGGCGCGAGGGGCGGGGCGGGCGGCAGGTGGCGGGGAGGCCACTTTGCGGATGGGTGAGGTCGACGGTGAGAAGATGAGCGGGACCGGGCGGCGGGAGGCGGAGGGAGGGCGCGAGCCCATAGAAGCAGCCAGGCCACGCGGAGCCGGGCACCTTGCCGGAGTGGTAGCGGCGGAGAAGGAGACGTGGGCGCGGCGCGGTTGTGGGCGCCAGAAGGCGGCCGGATCGGCGTCGCTCGAGTCATCGAGTAGATCCGAGTCGCGGGCAGGCTTGCGGGAGCGAAGACCGACGGCCATCCGGTCAAAGTGCTGCTCCTGCTTGCGGGCGAGGGTGCGGAGGCGGACAGGCGAGGCGTCGGCCAGCTCTTCTGCCTCAACGTAGGCCTCGAGCAGCGAGAGGCGGGCGGCGGACTCTTCGCGGACAGCGGCCTCGCCATCGACATTGACGCGGTCTCCCGCCCGACGCGGACGCGGACGGAGTGAGCGCTCCAGAAGCGAGTCTAGCTCGCTGTGGTCATGATAGCTCCCGTTCGGCTGAGTCTGGACCGCTGTCTCGCCCTCTACAATGCGGCGATCATAGCTCAGCCCCGCAGGTGTGCGGGCCGGCCAACGGCCCGACGGCGTGCGGCTTGGGCGGCCACTACCAGCCGTGATATCAAACTCGAGCTCGACAAGCAGCTCTTCGGCGTCCATGTCTGTTGGAGACGGGAGAGCAAGCAGCAGGGCTCGGTATGTCCTGGGTTGTCTGCTACGAGTGGGTCGAGTGTGGGTTTGGGGTGGGCAGTGGCCGGTGGCCGGTGGCCGGTGGCCGGTGGGCGGGCGGTGGGCGGGCGGGTGGTGAGTGACTGGCGAGTTGGCGCGGGAGTGGCAGCCGGCAAGGGGCCGAGGGCGGAGGGGCGGAGGGGAAAGAGGGGGGAGGGATTGGCGGTGAGCTGGTCACCTCACTTGCAGCTGCGGGAGGAAGAGAACGAGGAGAGGCAGAGGAAGAGCAAAGGAGGAGGGAGGAGTTGGAAAGACGATGCTGCGGCCACTGAGGTTTGCGGTCAAGTACCAGCCGCCGGTTATTGTCATGGAGTACGAGCGGCCAGGTGGGGCCAATGGTGGACGACTCCGTCGGCGGAAGATGCCTGTGCGTGGCGTAGATGAGGATGGTGCCGACCCGTATACCCTCACACGCCGCCTCTTTGATGCCCATCCGCGCCATCTCTCGCCGCAGTGGGTCAAGTTTGAGCAGGTGGAGAACCTTGTCTCGCGCATCCTCGCCGCGCCCCGTCATGAGCCGGCGGCCGAAGCTGGGCCGGAGGTCGAGGCTGGGGCCAAGGCTGAGCTAGAGCCGCAGCCACAGCCATCAGCCGGCCAAGCCGGGGTCAACTACAACGTGCTTGATGATGATGCGCTGCAGGAGGTCAAGGCCGGGATGGAGGCCGAGTTTGAGGCCAAGCGGCTCAAGCCGGGCGATCCGGGCTTTGAGTACGATGTGCGGGCCGAGTTTGACGAGGCTGACGAGCCGTGTGAGTGGGACGATCTGCTCGGCGAGGACGAGCCAGAGGCGGAGACCGAGGCGGAGCTGCAGCCGCAGCCATCGGCCAGTCAAGCCGGGGTCAACTACAACGTGCTTGATGATGATGCGCTGCAGGAGGTCAAAGCCGGGATGGAGGCCGAGTTTGAGGCCAAGCGGCTCAAGCCGGGCGATCCGGGCTTTGAGTACGATGTGCGGGCCGAGTTTGACGAGGCTGATGAGCCGTGTGAGTGGGACGATCTGCTCGGCGAGGACGAGCCAGAGGCGGAGGTGGATGCGGAGCAAGAGGCGACAACTTCCTCCAGGGCCGCTCAGCCCATCAAGTATGAAGCCGAAGAGTTTGAGGCTGATTCCTCCTCGTCGTCGTCTAGCGACTCAGACGCGGACTCGTCGTCGGCGTCCGAGATCGAGTCCATCCCCGAAGAGCTGTACTCGTACGATGACGACGGTGGCGTGCTATTCTGACCACTGCCTCCCCGGCTAAAGAACTAAGAAAAGCAAAGGACACCATCATGTCTTCATTGTTGTCACCAACAAGGACAGCCAAGTGGTGTGGGTAGGCGCTCAGCCACGGAGGCGGAGGACAAGGTGGAGGGTCGACTCCTTCTGGATGTTGTAGTCCGAGAGGGTGCGGCCGTCCTCGAGCTGCTTGCCAGCGAAGATCAGACGCTGCTGGTCAGGCGGGATGCCCTCCTTGTCCTGGATCTTGGTCTTGACGTTCTCGATGGTGTCCGACGACTCAACCTCAAGGGTGATGGTCTTGCCGGTGAGGGTCTTGACGAAGATCTGCATACCACCGCGAAGGCGGAGGACGAGGTGGAGGGTCGACTCCTTCTGGATGTTGTAGTCCGAGAGGGTGCGGCCGTCCTCGAGCTGCTTGCCAGCGAAGATCAGACGCTGCTGGTCAGGGGGGATGCCCTCCTTGTCCTGGATCTTGGTCTTGACGTTCTCGATGGTGTCCGACGACTCGACCTCAAGGGTGATGGTCTTGCCGGTGAGGGTCTTGACGAAGATCTGCATACCACCGCGAAGGCGGAGGACGAGGTGGAGGGTCGACTCCTTCTGGATGTTGTAGTCCGAGAGGGTGCGGCCGTCCTCGAGCTGCTTGCCAGCGAAGATCAGACGCTGCTGGTCAGGCGGGATGCCCTCCTTGTCCTGGATCTTGGTCTTGACGTTCTCAATGGTGTCCGACGACTCAACCTCAAGGGTGATGGTCTTGCCCGTAAGGGTCTTGACGAAGATCTGCATGTCTGTACGGGTGCGCGACAAGTGGTGTGCGGAGTGGGGAGGTAGTGTGTAGGTGCGGGTGTCGCGTGGGTCGTTGGAAAACGGTGTGGTCGTATTCTTCCGAAACCGGTCGCACTTTGGCCCCGCGTTTTATGCATTCCCAGTCGTTCCTTCCATTGCGACACGTTTTTTGGATGCGGCCTTCCATTCCTTCGCAGCGTCGCAATCGAGCGCTCGCTTGGGAGGGTACACACACACTGTCGCAAACGACTGCCCGCGCGACCTCCTGGCAGCCGCGCGACCTTTTGGCGGTCGCCTGCCACAGGCCCCGGCTTCACTTGCTACTGCCAGAGCTCGCAACCTGCTTGAACATCTTGATGCTCTTGTCGGCCTCGACAGTGATGAGGCGGGTGCCCGAGAGGTCAAAAGTGGCGTCAAGGATGGCGGCCTCGGACTCGAGGGATCCCGGCTGGAGCGGGGTGCGGAGGTGCTGGTAGGCCGTGCCCGAGCCGTAGTCCCAGAACGTCAGTGCACCGCCCTCGCCGCCCGAGACCATGACGCCGTCGTCGTTGATAGCCAGCGTGTGGATGGTGCCCTCGTGCTCGCGGAGCGTCTGCATCAGCTGGCCCTTGGGACAGGCAAACTTCTTGATCGAGCCGGCCGAGGCCGAGACAAAAGCGTATTCGGCCGGCGCGTGCGCCAACGCACGCACGGCCTTCTTGTGGTGGGTGAGCGTAACTGCAGAGCTCATGTTCCGCAGGTCCCACAGCCGCACCATCGAGTCGGCAGAGCCCGACACAATCTGCGGCTCGGCGGCAGAGCCGAGCAGCGAGAACACAGCGCCCTCGTGGCCGGCAAGAACCCCAATGGCGTTGCGCGACCGCACATCCCACACACGCACGTCGCGATCGCGCCCGCCGGTAAACAGCACGTCTAGCTCCGGATGCAGCGCGAGGGCGTACACTCCGCCGCGGTGGCCAAAGTACGACCGCGTCACCTGGTTCGTCTCCAGGTCCCAGCACTTGATGAGCTTGTCCTTGCTTGCAGAGAAGAGGAACGGGTGGCGCGCGTCAAACTGCAGCGCCGTCACGGCAGACAGGTGGCCCGTCAGCGTCAGCTCCAGCCCGCCGTCAGCGGCGTCCCAGATCTTGATTGAGCAGTCGGCAGAGCCTGTGGCAAACCACTGGTTCGTCGGGTCCATGGCCACAGACTCGACCCACCCGGCGTGCCCGGCAATGACCCGATACAGCTTCCAATCCGCATGGCTCTTCACCTCGGCCTGCGCGAGCGCCTCTGCCCCGCGGGCAGTTGCAACCGCAAGCGCACGTGCAGACGACGACCGCATCGCCTCCACCGCTGCATCCTGCGGCGCTCCCACAGCGCCAGGCTCTGTCCCGCGCCGCGCCTGTCCGCCCCCGCTCTCCACCTCCATCGCCACCACCGCCATGCTCGTCCCAGCGCTGCTCTTGCCATCGCTCCTGCTCTTGGCACTCTTACTCTTGCCGCCAGCATCCTCACCCTGCTGGCTGCTCGACACAGGATACACCGCCCGCGCACGAACCCGTCGCCCGTACCCAGCCAACTCGTTGTTCTCGCCGCCAACGCCGCTCGCCCACGCCTCGCCAAACAGCTCCGCCGTCCGCGCCTTGGAGTGGGCGCTCAGCTCTTCAAGCGTCCGCACACCACCTTCTGCCGCCATCTCGCTCGCTATCCGCTTCAGCCCAAAGAGCAAGCGAGGTGGATGACTCCTTCCGCCCCCCCCCCCCGCCCCTTCGGTGAGGGGTTCGCCTTGGCCACCACCAACGAGCTCAGGATGAATCGCTTGGTCGACCGCCCATTCGCGCGAGCTCAATTTGTGTTTTTCACTTTGGCCAAGAGTCGCCCCTTTGGCGCAAGGGACAATGGACAGTCCCATTCGAAGACTCAGCCACCTCACACCTCTATTCATCATGTCCAAGTCGAAGAAGGGCGCCGAGACCGCCGAGGTCCGCAAGATCCGCATCACTCTCTCCTCGCGTGACGTCAAGGCTGTCGAGAACGGTACGCCTAGTCTTGTGCTTGCCCCCTTCCCCTCCCTGCCTCGTACTGTGCTGCATTCCCTTCCCCCACCCTGGCTGTGATGGCCCGCGTACGGGCGGCTGGCAGAAAAATATGCTTCCTCCCTCGGTTCTACTCGCCTCCCCTACGCGCCACACCGCGTGCCTGCAACCGACACTCTGCAAACCTATGCTCTAGGTGTGTATACTTCATCCCTCCTGCTCTGGTGCCTGGCCCCGTCCCCTACTGCCCTTCCCTGGCCCCGCTGTCGCATCGGTGTCTGTGTGATGGCCGCCAATTGTTTGACACTCGCCAAAGCAGGCCGACGCCGACTCACCCCCCCCCCCCTCCCTCCCCTGGACACACACCGGCTATCGACTGGAATAGTCTCGTCGGAGCTCATCCGCAACGCCAAGGCTGAGCAGCTCAAGGTCCGCGGCCCGCGCCGTATGCCGACCAAGGTCCTCCGCATCACCACCCGCAAGTCGCCGTGCGGTAACGGTACCAACACCTGGGACAAGTTCGAGATGCGGATCCACAAGCGTGTCATCGACCTGCACTCGCCGTCGGACATTGTCCGCCAGATCACCTCCATCTCCATCGAGCCCGGAGTCGAGGTTGAGGTCTCGCTCATCTGAGCCAGCTAAACACAAAGAACCCGTCTGCCATCTCCCCTGTTTACCCGTCCCCCTCCTGCCCCCTCCGGCCTCTGCCCGCACTCTGCTCGCCCTCCTCCCCCCCCCCCTCGCCTCCCCCCTACCTCCCCCTGCCCCACTTGCCCCACGCCACCTCTCCTCCACCCTCCCCTCCCATCCCCTCCTCCCAACTCCAACTCCGACCACCACCTGCCACCACATGGCCTCCTCTTCGCCTCTCCCGCTCCCGCTCTCCCACGCAGACATTGTCGCTGACATCGCAGCCTTGGAAGCTGCGCTCGACGCTGACGCCGCAGCCTCGCGCCACACCAGCCACACGCCGGCCTCTCCAACCTCACCAACCGCGCCAACCTCGCCAACCGCGCCAACCTCGCCATCGAATCCACATTCCCCGCTGCCTCTTACTGCTGAAGACTATGACACGGCCGTGACAGAGCTCCATGCTCTTGCCGCGCGTCTCGACGCGCTTCGCGACGCCAACGGGTTGGACGACCCGGACGCGCCCGAGCACGCCTACGAGCTCTCCAAGGCCGTCGTCTCGGCACATCACTGGCTTGCCCGCCTCCATGCTGCTGCAGCTGCCCTCGGCTCGGACGTTGCCGAGCTCGGTCCTGATCTGGCTGCGCTCGCCGCCCGCGCCGCTGCGCACATGCGGACCGGCGGCCCCACCGCCAGCACGCCGTAACCATCCGCTCGCCTGCTTTACTCGCTCGCGCCCAATTCGGCAATCAAAGGACCTTCCTCCCCGTCCTGGCTCGTCACCGCCGCAGGATGCTCCGGCTGCAGCGGGACGGCCTGCATGCCCGACGCCAACACGGCCTCCGGCGCGCCGTCAAAGACGCCCACTCCGAGATCTAGCTCGATGTGCTGCCTGTCCTCGCCCTCGCCGCCTTGACTCCCCTCGTCGTTATTGTCGTCGTTGATCTCCATCGACGCCGCCCCGGGCGGCAGCTGCGCCAGCACCTCGTTGGCCGCACGCATCGTCGGCAGAAACGCTGCAGCCCGCGCCAACAGCGGCGACGGCCCCATCCGATGGATGTCAGGCTTGCTCATCGGGCCACCGCTCGCCGGCCCGCCGCCCGTCGTGCTCGGCTCGATCACCAGCATGTCTGCTACTCCCCCCGTCACCCCGCCCCCAGTAACACAGTCCGACGCCATCACTCTGCATCAGTACAGCTACCGCCTCCGCCTCCGCCCTGCCCCTCCCACCCCCCA